TGAACCTTTTACTTCGCTCACAGGGGTAGACTGTTCTAGTTCCGCGTGACATGTGTCAGTTGTCAGTTATCTCCTGTTAATTCCCCTCTCCAAGTTCTCCACTGACTTAACCGGGTATTAAACTCACACTCTTTGGGTCCTGTCACTGGATCTAACTAACGCCTTTTATCCACAGTGCCATGTGTCCTTGAGGACAGTCTACCCCAGTGAGCGTAATAATGGGTTCAGTTCGACATTCCAAACACTTGAAGAAGGCCGGAGCGTACTACGGCCGAAACATCTTAATAAATATGGCGAAAACGATGTGAACAATAGTCGGAATGATGTATAGAGTCTACATAATACCTCATCTCAGAAATATAGACAAAGATAGGCTACATACGTACGTTTTGTGAACCTCCATTGATACAATGCCGAAGCATTAACCTAAAAACTCTTCCTCGGATGAATGATGTGCTCACCCCGTTCGTCTTTCATGGGCCCAAATTCTTGCCCAGACTTTTGCGTGAACTTCTAAACTAATGCCCTCGCGAAAGATATGAATTTACCTTTTCTCCACTCACCTAAAAATAGAGTAGCAGGTTACACAGGGTTAGGCAGCAACCAGTCGAAAGGAAAGAAAACTATCAATTGAAAACCATAGAAAAAGAGACTTAAATAATCTCGTCTGGTCTTGTCATTCATATGGATGTTATCCATGACGTCAAACTTATTCATAATTATCTAAAATGCCAGCTGTATGCAAACGCTTTTTAGGATCAATGGCTTAGAACCAGTAGGTCTTAAGACAATACTTATTCGAATCTTTTGTTCTGGCGTTGCAAAATCAGAAACAAGGAGCCGTACAAAATAACAAAGATCATATACTTATTTATGTTTCATGCATAATACACGCTTAGGCGATCATGTATCTTTCGATACGTGACTGACGGGGCAGATATTTTTTCCCGCAGTAGGTTGCCATGGCTATAGAACCCGGTCTCTTCTGCTATTTACCCATAGCGGTGTTTGGAAGAAGACGATTCATACCTTTCTCAAAGGTATTAGCACGTAAGTGAATGGAATGGATTCGACTGGAATTCGAACTCGGCTCTCCGATTCCTCAATTCGAGCCGTTATCCATTACTCCACCGTTAAGCAACAACTAAAATGGATAGAACTCATAACAAGGAACTGTACAAAATAACAGAAACCACTGAGTCAGTTATGTGTCATCCATGATACACGCTTAAGCGATCATGTATCTTTCGATACATGACGTACGAGGCAGATTTTAATTACCCGCAGTAGGTTGCCATCTCTTTCTGTGCTAGACCAGTTTCCATCCAAGGTTATTGAACCCGGTATGCCCTGCTATTTACCTATAGCTGGGGGGGGAGAAGACGATTCATACCTTCCCCAAGGGTATTAGCACGTAAGTGAATGTAATGGATTCGACTGGAATTCGAACTCGGCTCTCCGATTCCTCAATTCGAGCCGCTATCTATTACTCCACAGTTAAGCAACAACTACAATGGATAGAACCAATAACACGAGAAAAAAAGGCATGAACAAAATGCTGGCGATCCACACCACTCCAAATAACAGTTTTGAGAGGACCCCACTCCTCAATACTAGAAAGAGCAATAAAAGTTACTTGACAAAGCTATTTTTCTATAAACTTCAACTGAATGTTATCACTAATAGCTCGTCCAATGACTACTAAATGTTTCCCTATAAGGAAAAAGCTAATATTACCATTTCCATTAACATGGCTATGTAAGTAACCAGAGTGACGATGACACGATATCACTTGGAGGAGAGCATCCAGGATTGATGTTAACGTCCAGGACCTAGGATTCACCAGATTGAATCAACGGCCACACGTTTGTAACCAAAGCGGCCTTTCATGTTGAAAGACATCAGGTGTGGTTTGACATGAAGAAGGGTGGTCTCCGGCTGTTCTATATGCCCAACACAGGCTACGAATGAATCCTGATACATGAAGGTTACTCAAATGCTCTTTTGCGCAGCGACCCTAAAACCATACCTGATGATTGTGATGATGAGGAGAAGGAGAAGGCTACGTGTTTATTGATGTCCCTACATAAATTTTGAAATTCGACTTCGAAGTTTTAATTCCATTTTTGGTAACATCGCTATGCATACAGAACATTACCCTAATGCTGTGGTCCTGGGTAAGACGATAAACTATATCAAACAGCAATGTTTTGTGGAGCGTGGAACCATCTCTTAATTGCTGGTGTTCCCAGGTCCACCCTGACCCGAGGTGGTAGCACCTGTTAGGGTCCCAGCTATGGGCAAATAAGTAACCTCCAAAATGGAGTCAAAACAGAATTAAAGTGTAAAAATAGGTTTTAATATCAGAAATACTTAGTAAAAAATTATTACCAGCAATAAATTTTAGAAGAAAAATTATTACCAGCAATCCCTGAGAGCTATAATCTCCAACTATTCAAATGTAATGTCAATCGACATCTCCAGTTGCCTTGATCTATCCCCTATCCTTCTCCTCATCCTTTCCTCTATCACTCCTATCTACTCTCGCTCCAAATCCTCTGTAACCCCGATGCGTGCCAGTGGCTTTCCGCCTTTCTTGGGGTGAAATGCTTTAAAAAAATCAAGTGTCTCTGGAGCTCTTTATTAGGTGAACTTTAAGGAAAATTGCCTGTTGTGAGTTCAATACTCGTTCTTTTCTCCCTATTTACAACATTGTATCATATTTCCAATAGTTTCATATCTCGCACCTCTCGCCCGTGGAACTCCCTTCCCTATTCCTGTTTCCCTGATAGCTATTATCTCAAACTTTTCATATGTAATGTCAATCGACAGCTCCAGTTGCCTTGATCTATCCACTATCCTTCTCCTCATCCTTTCTTCTATCACTCCTATCTGATCTTGCTCCAAATCTTCTGTAACCCCTTGCGTCCTAGTGGCTTCCCGCCTTGCTTAAGGTGAAAAGCTTAAAAAAATTATCAGCGATACATTTTTACGGAAAAAATTACCAGTGATACATTTTTAAAGAAAAAATATTACCAGAAATAGATTTTTTGAAGGAAAAAATATTACCATAAGTACATTTTTGAAAGAAAAAATATATTATCAGCACTAAAAAAAAAATTTGTCGGTATTAAATAACCCATTGAGGTTGATATGCCGTAAAACAAAACAAACTAAACCGAACCTTATGTTTTTATCAAGCAAATCTCGTTGGCTGTTATTACTGTAGGGAGCTTGATTCTCACTGTGCTGCAAACATGTTACCTTGTTTCAGACTAAAACAATGCAAATGCTTAAGTAATCACATTAGGAAATCAGTTTGATGTACTTTGACTAAAATTGTTTGACATCTGAAAAGAAATAAAACTAATGTCATAGAATAAATGCAATTCAGAAAAAACATGGTTGAAGGCGATCGTATCGGAAATAAATAATATTGCTATCAATGAAAAAACTAACCGTGAGTCTTGTTTCTTAATCAAATACAGATGCCTTCCAAGCATGTTTTTTTTTTTTTTTTTTTAGCTTTGCTGCTTTTAAATTGTCCGATAGATAAAGTTTATCAGAATGCAGACCGGAAGTTGTTAAATCCAGCTCATTAGATTGATGTCGAATTTTGCTTAGACCAATGGAAAAATCTTGCTTCTATTAACCGGATTTCTAATCAGATCATCTTAATATAAATAGAGATGGAAAATGTAATCTCACGTTTATAAGCAAAAAATATACAAATGCCGCTACACTGGCCGGTCGTAACTGAGTCTGTCTGTCTGCGAGAAAGAGTAAACAACCCCTGCTGCAGACACATTCTCAGCGACATTTGTGTTCTAGAAACCCAGCCTGTGGTTTATCTGTATTCCTATAGAACCAGCCTATGATTTATACTGGAACTATACTGAGAGAGCCTTAGTGACAGTTTCTGGGAGAGACTTAATCATCTGGCGTTTTCAATAGTTTGAACAGGAGCAATACGGACCAACCCCTTTTATCCACAGTGCCATACGGACAAACCTTCGGTCACGAAGACTCGTGATTTCTTGCTATAACAACCACCGATGGACAGCGTCATCTACCCTAAAAAAACAGTTGCGGTCATTATATCTTAACAATGTAAATCAGTCACGAACTTTTTCAATGATCCGATAGTTATATTAGTATGACTTTGAATTGTGCAGGCGGTGAAAATAGATATAGGCTCGAAATGAGAAATCAGCGAACTGAGTTCAATTTCATATCACATCATTACATGCAATAGTCTCAGCAAATATATGAATCCGTCATTTCTCTCCCCAAAGAAATAGCAAGGCAGACTGGACTTTCCAACTGTGGTTAGCAATCAATATATGATGACAATTCTGAATTAAAAAATGTATCTGGTCCTACTGGTATATATACTTAAACTGTAACTAAGGTCTGCTCAGCATAATAATGTAATTAATGACTGGACGCTCGTAGACGAGGTTGCCTGTTTACTAGAACGACTAGCAAATCCTTGTTGCAGACGCCTGCCCAGGCATATTTAATATTTAAACAACACCCACAGAGTCCACTTGGGGTTTATGCTGCAACTATACTTAGTTACAGTTTCTGGGAGAGAGCATAATAAACAGTTTTTACAAGGCCAATACCCTCAGAGACTCGGTCACGATGACTTGTGACTTTGTTTTAGCAAAATCATCGGCGGCTTCCTAAAAGTTCCGTCGACCCAATTTCAATCACAAAACATAGCGCAATATATATATATATATATATATCTGTGTGTGTGTGTGTGTGTGTGTGTGTGTGTGTGTGTGTGTGTGTGTGTGTGTGTAAAAGTGGACACTGACGTGAACACCAAGTGGCAACAGTCTGCTTCAGGCCTAGATCAGCGTCTTGTTTCCCGGTAAATTTGCCTTAGATCAGGGTATTTCTGATCTCTACCCCAGGGATAAAAGTGTTGTTTCCGTCCATTTCTACCTGTGATCAGTGTAGATATGATCTATTCTAAAAGGACTAATGTTTTATTCTTTTCTTTTCGCCGCATCTGCTGAGGATGAGTGTGCCTGTGACATCTTTTCTTTTCGCCGCATCTGCTGAGGATGAGTGTGCCTGTGACATCTTTTCTTTTCGCCGCATCTGCTGAGGATGAGTGTGCCTGTGACATCTTTTTTTTTCGCCGCATCTGCTGAGGATGAGTGTGCCTGTGACACATCTTTTCTTTTCGCCGCATCTGCTGAGGATGAGTGTGCCTGTGACATCTTTTCTTTTCGCCGCATCTGCTGAGGATGAGTGTGCCTGTGACATCTTTTCTTTTCGCCGCATCTGCTGAGGATGAGTGTGCCTGTGACATCTTTTCTTTTCGCCGCATCTGCTGAGGATGAGTGTGCCTGTGACATCTTTTCTTTTCGCCGCATCTGCTGAGGATGAGTGTGCCTGTGACATCTTTTCTTTTCGCCGCATCTGCTGAGGATGAGTGTGCCTGTGACATCTTTTCTTTTCGCCGCATCTGCTGAGGATGAGTGTGCCTGTGACATCTTTTCGACGAATTGATATGTTCCTTCCGTTGTTTCAACCTCGGTTAAGGGCAATATGTATGCGCCAATCAACAAAAACTACGCACAGTACATGAATTTATATATTATACCTCCTTACTCATATACGTAATGTTGAACTCAGTCGTGTAGACCTCGCTTATATTTACATACGTTCTATCTCTGATACTGAGTAGTTTTACGCATAAATAGCATACCTTAAAACTATATTTGTATCATACACACACATACATACATAAACACACACATATATATTTGCTAGACAGAAAAAAATCCCAAATTACCTCATGTTCGATTAGTCTATTTCAGACTAGTACTGGTATGTGTCAGCTATCCTCAGTCCAAGACTGTCTGGAAATAGTGTTTTGTTTTTTTTTTTTTTTTTTTTAATTTGGTTTAGTATGGGCTACTTCAAGGGACGCCTCAGCCAAGATAAGGAGTCTAGGTTGATGACCAGGAGATGGGTCGGGCGTGGGGAGGTCTGATTTATGGCCAAGGCCTTTAGTTGTATGTAAATGAATTCACTTTCCTGCTAGTAGATTATAAGATGATAGGGGACGTGAAAACTGTAATCGTTGAGTAAAAGGACTTATTTAAAGATTAATTTTCAGAAGGACTTTTGGCATTTTATTATATATATATATATATATATATATATATATATATATATATATAAAGAGAGAAGAAATAGTGAGAAAAGAGAGAGTATATATAGATATACATAGAAAGAGAAATAAAGCGACTGATTATAAACTAATATATATATATATATATATATATATATATATATATATGAAGAGAGAAAGAAGAAAGAGAGGGAGAAAGAAAGAAAGAGAGATTATGTAATAATCTATATGTATATAGAGAGAAAGAAAACGAGAGATTATATAATAATCTATATGTATATATAAAAAGACAGAAAAAAGATAGAAGGAAAGAAAGCGAGAGATTATATAATAATCTATATACATATAATATATTATTCCTTTAAGCGTCGTTTTATATTGGATATATGTGTTCGAGTTAATCCTCTGTTTTCTTTTTTATACAGTCTCTCATTTTTATACAGTCTCTAATTTTTATGCAGTCTATAATTACAATTACCAGCATGTTCATTTCAGTGACTCAATTAAGAAATTATGTTCTCTACTAGGTTTTGAACATCGTTCTTCTTTGAGAATGCGATCTGATCCGAAGTGCCTTACATCGCTCATCCACAATGAGCTTGACGCCCCGGAAAGGTTCAAATGACTCTTTTAAGGAATGCGTATCTAGAGATTTTCATGTGCTGACATATCTGATCGAAGATTCCAATTTGCTAACAGTTTTTTTTTTTCTTGGCTGAAACATAAACAATACAATTTCTAAGAAATAAATGTAAAGTATTTTTGAAATTTTTATCCGACTTCATTTCTTATTTATTTAAACGTTATACTTTTATGGTTAGACGTATTTCAGCAGCAGGTTTTACTATTAAAAAAGGGTTTCTACTTAAACAGGATTATCCACTAAAATATACCTAACGTTTAAACTAATAAAAAGCAGTGTCGGTTAGAATAAAAGCATTAATTCATTAATTCATATATATATATATATATATATATATATATATATATATATATATATATATATATTGTTTTTTAAAATATGATTCCTTCGCTACATAAGAGTTCTCATGTTTCAAAAACGAGAGGAACCATCCAAATAATTATTAAAATTAAGTTGAATTGTGGTGTTTAGTCCCGTTTGGTGTTTTAGGTTCCTAAAATTTCGTTTGAAAATGAAACGGGACTAAACACCACAATTCAACTTAATTTTAATAATTATTTGGATGGGTCTGGCTCTCGTTTTTGAAACAAGAGAACTCTTATGTAGCGAAAGAATCATATTTTTAAACAAAAAATATTATTATAATAAAGCTCTATTTCTGTATGGAGCACTGTCTTCTTAAAAATAAAAACAAAAATACTAAGGAACTCCGAATTATGCACCCAATGTGTTCTTTTCTGTTTTCTGCATACCTGCGCACTTATATATATATATATATATATATATATATATATATATATATATATATATATATATTGAACAGTAAAAATATTAAAAAATTAAAATCTTCAGACACACTGGGTTGTAGATTAATATCCTTTCGTTTTATTATTATTATTATTATTATTATTATTTCATTTAGATTCCTCGACTAGTTTCGGCCAAAATGGCCATCATCAGGAGAAGAAATATTTCTGCTTGCTGGTAGCAGTGAACTACAGAAATGAATGTCTTGATGGAGAAAATTAACTTTTGTCTGTAGTTTTCATTTCTTTTGTTTTTTTTTTTTTTTTTATCTTTTTAACATGAATCTTTTAACATTCCTTGTGCTGGTCAAACAGTCTCTTTTAAGGTGTTATTTGAGATAAGAGCTGGATAGATATATATATATATATACATATGACTCTTATATATATATATATATATATATATATACTAGCATGCTTCGCCCGCTCGCTTTCGCTTCGCAAACCGAGATTTCATTTTCACTACTTGAAATCTTTGAAACAAAAATTTATAGTGAAAATTTCATTCATAAATTGGCTTCTTAAGGTAAGTTTTACAAATAGATGCCAACTTGTTTAAGGCCAAGTAAAATGCAAATTTCAAACACTTTTCTGCACTATATATGACTATATTCCTAAACAGAACTATTTTTGTTATGAAAATCAAAACTGTCCTCGAAAAATAGAACAGTAATGAAGGACATTTAATTAATGAAGCTTTTTAAAAATCAATATGCAAATTAGTCTAACCTGAAGAGTGATATTGCCTAGAAGTAGATAATAGATAATGCAGATATTGAGCATGCGATGTGTAAATTACTTTAAAGTAGATTTGGCGCTTTTTTAATCTCAGAATTCATGCGAGAATTGAACTCCAATTTCGCATTTATTCCTATAGATTCCATGATATAAGTTTTACTTAATTAGCTATTATGTTTCTCTCACTCTTCAAATATTGAATGTATAACTAATTCTAATTTCTATTTTCCCGTCCTTACACTATATTAATTTTATCTTATAAATTGTCTCCTTTTCTGTCATTCACGAAATAAAAATAATTGTACGGAAAATAAGGATCTTCATACATCAAATCGTCATAAAATTTAGTAGCAGCAGAAGAATTATTGTTGAACTTTTAAAAGGTAAGCTCCAACATTAATTCAGTACTTAAATGCAGCAATCAATTCTGAGTTATTCGGTAGTTTACTGATGCCTATCGCATCTACTTCTCCCTAGCTATTGTGATGATGGCCAAACCAAGGTTAAATGCCTCCCGATAGTGCAGCTTTTAAGCTATTTTATAATAAAACGTGCACTGTAATTTGGGATGTAAAAGCAGTTACTACCCTTGAACCATGAAAGCAACAATAATAACTAGTATAATATATTTAATCTGGCAACCCTGAATCTGAGCTCAATGAAAATCGTTCTCTGCATGTAACTTTTCTTGGGATTTTGAATGAGCTATGAATCATTGAAATCGAACCAGTAGGAACGGAAGAGTTGCTTGGACTCACACGCGCACAAACACGCAAACATACACTGTACTTTATATATAAGATATAGTTGTGGACAGATTATTCATCCCCCTCTCTCACTGAATATTTGCATATTTTTTCAGGAATGCGAATATTTGCAAGTACTAACTGAATTTACCATAAATAGTTGATTCTGTATTGATTTTTCAGTAATTCGTAAAATTTCTAGACGTTTTGATCTATTATATTCATAGTTATAGATTCTTCTAAAAATTGGTACAGTCCAAAATTATTCGCCCTCACCCTGGAAATTATGAAATAATAATTCTCTATAGCAATTGTAATCTTTCCTTTTTTAATTTGACATTTAATGCAAACACGCTTCGAAAATGAAATAGCATTTACCTGATTCTATAAAATTCTGAAAGGTAATGAAGACAATAGGTGAGTGTCACATAGCGTGATAACTCATTCTTACTTCAGCCATGACAAAGACGGCTGAAAAGCTCTGAATGAAGAGAGTTGATGTGTACAAACAAGGAGATGGATATACAACACTTTCCTTGCGTTTAAATATTCCTAGATCGACAATCAAGAAGTACCACGCGTCTCATTGTGGTGAAAATAAATTAAGGACTGGCAGAAAGTGGTTAATTCCTGAGAGAATGGAAAGGAAAATTGTTAGAGATGTCTCGAAGAATCCTCACTTAACGACGAAAGACATTGACAATGATGCAAAGACATCATGGTTGAATATATCGACAAAGACAATCACTAGATGCTTTCATCTATTAAGGTTTTGAACTTGTCGCTCAAAGAAATCTTCCCTGCTTAAGGTTAAACACATAAAATATAGATTAGCTTATGCTAGAAGCCATCTAGTACATGGGAGTAAATATTGGACGATGGCTTATGATCTGATGAAACCAAACTAGAATTATTTGGTAACATGAACTTCCGTTATGTATGGAGGAAAGTGAATGAATCTCACAAATCTAAACTTACCCTCCTTACAATTAAGCACGGTGAGGTTAGTATTCTGGTCTGGCGATGTCTTTCTGCTTCAGGACCAGATTCGGTGAGAGTGCTGTGGATCATGGATAATGAGCAATATTTGGCTATTCTTAAAAATAATATAAAGCAAAATGCATGAAAGCTGTCTTTGGGGCGTCAGTGGAAGTTCCAACATGACAATGACCGGAAAAAACGGCACGAATTGCTACAAAATACTTAAATGACAGCACAATTAATACACTATTTACATTATTCAGACTATTGCTCTCATCTTTGTCGCCATATTTATCACAACGTTTTGGCCATTGTACTCTCCGGCCTTCTTCAGGTGGTTGGAATGTCGAGCGAAACCCTTTATTTCGCTCTTTGGAGTAGACTGTTCTAGCTCCACGTGCCATGTCTAATGGATGTCAGTTATCAGTTATCTCCTGTTAAT